TGGAAGAGGAGCAATGGCGAGAGATAGAGAGGGTTTGAGTGCGACGATGGGTAAGTAGTTTCCCTTTGGGTGGGCAAGGCATTTGGATGATAGGAATGAATTGTTGATCATCCTTTTAACTTCGTGTTGTTCATGCAGATCGACACGAAGAACACAAAAGGCAAGGAGGTGGTGGCAACCACAGAGAAGGGCAAGGAGGTGGTGCTGCCATTAAGAAGGGCAAGGAGGTGGTGCTGCCCTTAGACGATGGCCTGGTGGCAACTACCATGAGAAGGCAGGGCTAACCCACCTTGCAAAATGATCCTTGCCACGAAGCTGGAGTGCCTGTTTATGCCTCTAGGCTTCAAGAAGCAACCCCCCGTCCCTCGGGAGTTCAAGCTGAAACGAACACCTGATGCGCATGAAGGGGCATGGGCGGGGTGATCAAAGACAGGGTCATCCTTAATTAGGGTTGGGCCCCTTCGCCGTCGTTCAGCATATCAGGATCGACTACATGGTCACCTTCAAGCTACTGACTCCTGATACCCTGAAGGTGATCGTCTTCAACGATGACGACGTTGAGGTGGTCACCAAGTGCAAGAGCACGACGACGCCTTCGTCCTGAACGTCTAGAGAACCCTGTGTTGTCTGATTACGAGTGTTGGTTTGGTTTTAAGGCTATGTCGTGCTGGTTTGGGTTTAGGACTGCTTGTTTAATAACTTTCGTACCATATTAAACTTATTCTTATGCTATCTATACATCTCTAGTTTGTTTTGTCTATTCTAGTGTGTTGGTAATCTCACCAAAGAACCTCAGTTCTGTTTTCCCAAGTCCGCAACCAAATAGTCTGCCTTTCATTTCATCACATCCAAACTAGAGGGTAATTTTTATCTTGTACTCCATCCGTCCCGTAATATAAGAGCGTGTTTTGCACCACACTAGTGTAAAAAAAGCTCTTATATTATAGGACGGAGGGAGTATATGCTCAACCAGGCCCAACCATAAGATGTGCAAAGAAAAAAATGATGGAAGCAACCAAACGCGTTTTTTAGGGAAAAACCTGTCGCCGCTTTATATTTAACTAAACAAAGTTTGGAATATCATCCGAAATTACATCTAAAATAAACTCTGAAGGAGACTCAAGCCAAAGCTGTGATCTCTGCTCGCCTACTCCTACTCAGCTTATGCGCGGCAACATTGGCAGATCTCTGAACTCAAGACACTTTGAACTCCACCACAGACTCAAGCATCCCCTTTATTTCTTGAATCCATGGCCCTGCTGCAGGCAAATTCTTCTCCGTTTGTTTGATCATCTGCACCACCACTTGGCTGTCCAGCTCCACATGGATCCCTGCACGCAACCAAACGCGTTATTAATTCAGTCGAATGCGTATTTCTTTTTTTAGATGAACAGGGAGGTCCTCCTCCCCGGTTCCATTGCTGGGAATGGAACCCCAAAAACACACCAGTATGTTTTTACATCAGCTCACTAAAAGGAGCAGTTCAGCGAATAAGAGTGCTAAGATAAAACTGAAAACTCATTACAGATCCTTCTCCTGGATCGCACGGCACGCAGGCCTGGGTATGAGTAGGGGTGTTTATCATGCTGATATCTTCGGAGCGTCGTTTGCTTCCATCCTTTCTGATCTTTTGAGCTTGAAAGGTGGTGCTGTAGCCGCCTGGGGTGACCAGCAGGCCAGGTTTTTTTTTTTTTTTTTTGAGAATTAGCAGGCCAGGGTCGAGACGGGGCTACACAGCGTACATTTTTTTTAGGGTAAAGTCGAATGCGTATTTCGATTAGCGGTTCAAGTTGTGCGTGTGTGTGTGCATCCCGGCCAAGAAAAAAAAGTTCAAGTTGTGCGTCTTTCGGTCGACTACACGCCGATCGGGCCCACTCACCGAATCCCCCGCTTCCTTCCTTCCCTCCGGCTCTCGCGCGCTCCGAGAATCCGACGACGAGACCACCGACGCGCTCGCGGTCTCGGCGTGACACGACCCACCTCGGCACACGTCACTGACATGCGGGATGAGAACGAAGCTACGATCCACCTGTCAGTGGATCATCCTGACCCTCCACCGTGTAATCCTACCGTGCGCGTCGCCTTTTATCCCTGGCCCACATGGCGGTGGCCGCACGGGCCCCAATGATATACGCTCATGTAGCCTCGCCCCCTCCGGGCCCTCTCGCCAGACATCCCACCAAGACAGCCGCGTGGGACAAGACTTCTTCCCTCTCCCCCCCCCTCTCGCCCTCTCCTGTTCCCCTCTCCCGTCGCCGGCGACCTCGACGGCGGCGTCTCCGGCGACCCAGGCGCCGGCTACGCCTCCCCATTCATCCGATCGATAGATATCTCGGGCCTGGGACCTCTTGCCCCCTCCCCAGAACCACCGCGCCTCTTCGCTCTGTTCACACCCTCGTCGTCTAGTGTTCCAAGGGGCCAATCCCCAGCGGGCACGAAGCGCCTGGGCCGGGTGCTCCCGCCCCAGATCCAGCGATCCTCCTGCCATCGCGGCCGCCATGGACGACTTCCAGGGCATCCTGGCCCGCGACTTCGGCCTCCGCCCTAAGGGGAAGGCTGCGCCCATGTCGGCCGCCCGCGCCGCGGCGCCCTCTGGATCCGCCTGGGACAGCACCAGATCCGCCGCCGCTGCCGCGCCATCCGCCCCCTCCTACGACGATCTCTTCGGGGCCCCGTCCTCCGCGCCGCCGCCCAAGCCCACGCAGCCGACCTCCATCGACTCCATGTTCGACTCCTTCGCGGAGCCCTCTGCCTCAGCCGCGCCGCCCAAGCCCAAGCACTCGTCCATGCCCGTGTTCGACAAGCCAGTCTACGACGACGATATCTTTGACGGGGTCCCCGGTGTGAAGAGCTCCTCGGTGCGCTACGACGACGTCTTTGCGGGCAACCACGCGCCGGCCCCTGCAGACGACGACCTGCTCGCTGGTTTCGGAACCAAGTCAGTGGCTAGGGAGGTGCCGGAAGATAAGTGGAAGCCCGGGCCAGCAGCCGCCTCAGCGGGGTTTGATGATTTGTTTGCGGGGATTGGCAGGAGCAGCCCGGTGAAGCAAAGGTAGGTGCTTTTATCTGTGTGGAAGTTATCTATGCGCGTATGTACCGAATGTTGCGTTGAGTAGAATCTGTAACTTGCCAATACGTAATAGGTTTGCATTGGTATTACACATGTTCAGTCAGGAATGCATTTATGATCTGTTTTAGAGCTCTGCTGCCCTGATTCACTTGGGCCTGTATCATCCCTACATGCATTATGTTAGGTTAGCTGTAGGTAATTTGGATAGATCTTAGACCAGTCTGTACATGTTATAGCTGCATGTCTTAGGCGCCTATGCAACAGAAGTTTCATCAAATTGAGATTATGTTTTGGTACATTGTATTTTTCGTGCTTTCTAATGCATGATAGTTTCTTTTTAATTTAGTAGAATCAGTTGACATTGATGAAGTTTAAATTCGTAAGGGGCAGATTATATCGAAAAATATTGGAGCACAGTGCAGCGGCTTATGATTTGAGGGGTGTGCCAACTTCGATTGGATTGAGCAAATTATAATAGAAGTTGGCGAAATTATATCATTTGGAGTTTGGTTTGCCTAATGAAATTGATTATTAGAAATAATCTGATGTATGTAAAGCTGAACGATTTAGTAATTTTTAATTATATTGCAAAGCTCCCTGATCAGTTTGCTTTTTGCATCATGTTGTTCGTAACAGATGCAAGTTATCCGCAAGTAGGCAAAACGCCAACCACTTTTTCCCCTCTTTTTGCCATTCAGATTAAATACCAACTAATGTGAATTCTGATACATTGGTACATGAATTTGTGACGCCGCGAGTTCACTTTGATTTTTGAGCTTTCAGAGAAAAAATAGGAAATTTGATTTGATTCAATTTATTAATGCAATTTCAAATGGGTTATGCAACAAAGTTGATGAGGTTATGAACTTGTTGCCTGTTATGTTTACATGGATCTCTTGTGATTAGGCAAAAACTACATTGATCAAAGATTTTCGTTATTTTCACCTTTTTTACTTTGATAGATGTTTACTTCCTTACAAATGGGTCCAGTTTGTAACGTTCTCATTTTTATGATCTCAGGCAAACTGCTGGTGCTAAAGAAAAGAGGGTGCCTACATCTCAGCCAGCTAGCATGGCAAGCGACCCTTTTGTTTCTTTTGAAACAACTTCTACTTCAGCCCGTCAATCCTCTGGGATATTCTCGGATCCCTTGGATGAATTGGGTAGGCATTCAAAATCTCAAGTAAAAACTGCTGCTGACAGTGGTCTATTTGAGGATTCTAGCGCATTCAATCAGGTCCCAAAATCAGAACCTTTGTTTACCACAAATTTGAGTGATGACTCTAAAGGTAGCAACGGATCAACCAAGGCCCGAGACTCGAGCCCTGTGCAAAATTTTCCGAAAAGAAACTCAGCCCAACAACCTTCTGTGGAGGACTTCGAAAATATTTTTACACAGTCACAGTCTGCCCGATATTCTGATGTTCATGTTGATAGTGGTGCTCCAGGTTCCGAGAAATACAGTGGGAATGGTATGGATGACCGGTCACCAAGATCAGATGAGTCTGAGGATGAGATATGGCTTACAGTTTCTGAGATTCCCCTCTTCACACAGCCAACGAGTGCCCCACCACCTTCAAGACCACCACCATCTCTTGCAATTAAGCAAAAACCGCATGGATCAAGAGCAAAACGAAGGGATGATGAATATCTGCGGCACTCCACCCAGAACTACAACCATAACAAAAATTCTTCGATGGATGAATTAGAAGAATTTGCCATGGGCAAACCTCAGAAATCAGCTTATGACAATGCAAATCCTTTTTATGAGGATGAATCTGAGCGGAATTCATCGGCGGCAGCATCTGCAGCTGCTATGAAGGAAGCCATGGAGAAAGCTGAGGCTAAGTTCAAGCATGCTAAGGAAGTACGAGAGAGAGAACGTGATGCAAAGCTTAGAAATAGGGAACAGCAGGAACAGGATGATGAAGCAAGGTCGTATGCACAGGATCGGGAAGAGAGAGAGAGGCAGGAGAAACTAGACAGGGAGAAAGAGATGAGACAAAGGGAGGAAAAGGAGAGAGAACAAAGAAGACTTGAAGAAGCGAGGGAGCTTGAGCAACAGAGAGAAAGAGGGAGGGGTAGACAAGCTGTGGAGAGGGCTACAAAGGAGGCACGGGAAAGAGCAGCTATCGAAGCACGTGCAAAAGCAGAGAGGGAAGCACGCCTACGTAATGAGAGGGCTGCTGTGCAAAGAGCTCAGCAGGAAGCTCGTGAGAGAGCTGCAGTGGATGCTAGAGACCGAGCTGATAGGGCTGCTGCTGAAGCTAAGGAGAAGGCTGCTGCTCAAACCAGGGAGAGGGCTACAGCAGAAAGAGCTGCTGTTGAGAGAGTTCAACAAGATGCAAAGAGAAGAGCTGACCGAGCAGCAGTGGAAAAGGCCGCAGCTGAGGTTCGGGAAAGGCAAGCTGCTGAGGCTCGAGAGAGGCACGCTGCTTCTGCAGCGGCAGCAGCGGCAAGAGAAAAACAGAGTAAACCAGATGACCTTGAGTCCTTTTTTGGTATGGGTGCCCGAGCAAACAGTGCACCTAAGCAAAGGGCTCCAACAGTGGTGATTACAACAATCTTCGTGCAATAGTTGTTTTTATGGCAATATTTTGCTAGTGTTTTTCTAATTGTGAAAATTTCAGGATCCTACGTTTAATGCTCAAAGTCAAAGTAGAGCGGCAGCAACCTCTGCTTCAGCATCATCTATGCGGAAGGCATCATCTACAACAAATTTTACGGATGACCTATCCGTGATATTTGGAGGAGGTACTAATTATCCGTAACAGGAGTACTATTTTGAAGTTTGCCAGTTATAAATCTTCATTTGATTGGTTTATGTTCTTTTAGCTCCCACGCCATCTGATGAGTTTCAAGCGGTTGAAGGAGAGAGTGAAGAGAGAAGACGTGCTAGGTTGGAGCGGCATCAACGGACCCGTGAACGAGCGGTATGTTGATATAATTCCAATAAGGATTGCTCTCATCCAAAATTTGTTGCTGTTCATAGTTGATTGTACATTTTCTCTATGATAGTGGAATTGCGATGCATGCATAAATGTTTGAATCGTAGCTGATTTTTAACTTTACTACGTATGCAGGCAAAAGCTCTGGCTGAGAAGAATGAACGGGACATGAATGTTCAAAGAGAGCAGGCAGAAAGAGATGTAAGTACTCCTATCATGATACATGAGCCGATTTTTCTTCTTTTGGCCTCTAGTAAACAGCACGTAATACAGTCTCCATATATTTTTATACACTATGGCAGTTCCCTGGTTGCCTGTCAGTGAAGTGTGTTATTGTCCCATTAGATGCTTGTTATTGGCTGCTAATGGCTATCTCCTTACTTCTAATTGTGATGTCTGTTAATTCCAGAGAATTTCGGAAAGTTTAGACTTCGAGATTAAGCGATGGGCTGCTGGAAAAGAAGGCAATTTGCGGGCACTGCTATCAACTATGCAATATGTGAGTCCTTGAACTGCTAAAATTTGAGGCAATTCTTAGTTATTTCTGTCAATTCTCTGTTCATTCTATTCTTCTTCTAAACAGAAGCTACATATGTGCTTTTGCATTGTCTACTCGAATATATTATTTTATCGTTCAATTTTGTAATTTGGTTATTTATCCTGTAATTTTCTTGCAATACGTTATGGTCAACACATAGTTTCTCTTGTCTAAATTTTGTTCCGAGGGTATTTGTTTGAGCATTCAGATTCCTGCAATCCAAGTCTTAACTGCATGTTTCACTAAACTATTTTTTCGCTGAACTGACCAAGTGACCAGTCATGGCATTGTATAGTTTTGATTATTTGCTGATGCTTTAAATGTACTATATTCCCAATCTGTCCTCATTGACTTAGGCTTTTGCATGAACTGGTTGGTGCATGCAACTCCACTCTTCTCATCATTTGGCCACCAATGGTCTCCGCCAAAAACCATCGCTTGGTTGGTTGTCTTGTTTCCTCGCTCTGTGAAAAACTCAGACAAGCCCAGTTGACTATTTTTCCTCCATTAATAATTTTCATGCCAATCTTGTTCCACTTTCCAACACCTTGGTGCACAAGTTTTCTCCCTTCTGGATTCATGATATCTCATCATGGGTGGGGGCTGCACATGGGCTGGAACAGAGAGTAGTGCACTGCTGACCCTGATTCCAAACTCCTGAGCAAACCTATCCTCTGCATACTTGTTGCTGGGAACCATCTCATATTAGGGACTACTCTGCTGCGGACATCAATAGTGCTCTAGGTATATTGGCCACTTATTTATCATTAAGCTTCTTAAGAGTATATTCCCACGACAATCTTGCACGCTTCCACAGGCAAATATGCATACTGAGAATTAGCGTGGAAGATTGTACAAGGGCAAAGGTATTCTAAGAAGCTTAATGATAAACATGCGATAAGCATACAAAGAGCAAACTTGTCATTGTCCTCTGTTAGGAGCATGGCATCTGTGAGATGGTTTTCCAATAAGCAGAGCATAGATTTGCTCAGTAGTATGGAATCAGAATCACCAGTGAACGAGTCTCTGTTCCACTTTCCATCTCCTGTGCAGCCAACACTCGTGGTGAGATACTGAGATATCATGAATCTGAAAAGGGATAAAACTGGTGTGCCAAAAGGTGGACAGCGGAGTATGATTAATAGAGGAACTGTGGTCAACTGGGCTTATTTCACGAATGCGTCTAAGAAGATGACCAGTGAGGCGGTGGCCTGAGATGAGATGGCAGAGGTCTGATCCCAGAGGTGTGCAGCCAGATGAGGGCATGACCATGCCACCCATCTTGGGGGGCTAGAATGGTTCGCTCATTGTGTGCCGGTACATGGGCGGAGAGGATGTACCCCGAGGAAGACACAAGCGCCCAATGATGCAGAGGCATCGGTTCAATTCACCGACTGGCGCAAGTTTTGATATGTCAGAAGCATTCTGCACGTAGATAATGACAGAGGGCAGCAGTGGAGGCACATATCCGGTAGCCAAGAGGAGGGTGGTCCACGGGAAGGAGTGGGTAAGGAGGGGTGGGTGGCGAGCGCTGGCAGCTGGAACCTGGAAGAGGTATATAATAGGCAGCTGGGGTTCTGGTGGGTGGGAAGAGAACAAGGAAAACGTAGGCTCTGATACTGTAGAGTTGCATGCACCAATCAGTTAGCCGTAAAGCCTAATACCAATTGCAGTACATATCTTAAAAACATTTTGGTAAATGTGCTGCAATACCATATTTGTAGCAACAATGTGATCTGCATTTCATATTTGCTGGTTAAACTATATTTTTTCCCAAGAATGTGTTAAAACAGCAACAAAGTATAATATCTTTCATGCCACATATAAAACAATTAAAATCCTTTGCTGTGAGCTGTACTTGTAATACAGCCATATAGGTGATGTGGATGCAATCTCTCTCTCTTCCACCAGAAACATGTTTGTGGTTATGTTCTCTGCTGTTGTTATAGCTGTGTTCGAGCTTCTTTCAAACAATAACTCTTTGCTATCAACAGTCAAAGCATAGACTACTAATTATGCACATGGAATTGCATTATAGGATAAGCCAGAAAAGTTGTGTTTTTCCCGGTGGTGATCCATGTGTTATTTCTGAACAGGTACTTTGGCCAGAATGTGGATGGCAGCCTGTATCCCTAACAGATCTGATCACTGCTGCTGCGGTTAAAAAGGTGTACAGAAAGGCAACTTTGTGCATCCATCCTGATAAGGTGCAACAAAAGGGTGCAAATCTACAGCAGAAATATATCGCCGAGAAGGTTTTTGATCTTCTTAAGGTGTGTTAACTTGTCTGTTTCACACCAGTATGATGCTTTCTTTAGCTCAGGATGTGTACATTAAAGCTTCATATACTAGACGAAAACCCTGCATGTTGCTGAATCCTATACATAGTATCTAAATATTGTGTAGAATATTTTATTCAATCTTTGCGATTTGTACTATATGAGAAATTTCTATTAACCCTCCTCTCTACATGCCAAGATTGAATAAGTATAAATTTTTATTAATCTTTTCGATACACCAGAGCAGAAATAACCTTTTGATGTTCCCCAACATTTTTATTAACCCTCCTCTCTACATGCATTAAACAGGAGGCCTGGAACAAATTTAACTCCGAAGAGCTCTTCTAGACATTACTATGAGGACCATCTTCACCTGCGTGAGGTACTCGAGGAGAAGTCCACCCACCGCGCATCATACCTGCTTTGGCTGCTTGAGGTGCTCAAGGAGGGACATCCAAGCTGGAGCGGCCGGTCATGCCGTCAGGGGAAACAACGAAGTGATCAAGTGAAAGCCCCACCCGCCGTTATTTGTTATTGTATTGCTGTTTGCTTACTGCATCCATCTTCTTCCTTCCACCTTGTGCATGTGTTGATTCGACAACTATTCGCAGCTGCTACATGCCAGCGGACCTTCAACCAGTAGGTGTATATTAGCGTCCTTTTTGCTCGGTTGATGGTGGGTTCTGTGTAGCAGCGGAGCGGGATCGGTGTTGTGATTTTTGGGGTCCAATGTGCTTCATTTTACTTTGGGAAGGCCAATGTTACATGGATTCATGGCTTGTCACCTGTTTGATGCCATGGCCACTGTCATACGTTATGTTGTGTTGTTTATTGGGAACTGCTGGTGCAACCATTGGAGTTGGAGCCGTGCCTAGTGATTTTTTTTCCTGTACGATTCTGTATAAAGTTGATCTAGAATTTTGGGTAGCTGGTTTGCCCTGTTTACCAAGCAAGCATTTGGTTTCCTTGTTCCTCGGAATTGGTTCAAATTGCCCTGTACGTGGTTGAATTATTATGCCAAGATCCGCCAGCTGTCATCAGAAATAACCAAATGCAACATGGTACATATAAACACTTAAATATGTCAGCATGCTATGATAACAGTACTTCCTAAACTTTTGCTTTCCCGTTTTAAGTCTCATTTCTATTGCTTCATATCACACGCTCAGATATTGAGGTGCATTAAATCATTGCATACAAGGACTAAAAAAAATCACGTAGAAATTCTTAGTTATTTATTGGTCATGCATGCATTACAATTAATGCATTGGCAAACACAATAGTTCGATGAAAATGAGTGCATTAATAAAGTACTTCTGCAAAGTATTAAAATTATCCCACTATTCATCATCTACCTTGGTTGGTGAGATATTCGAGTTAAGCCTTATAAACCAGAAAGGAGGGGTACTTGTTTATCATTCAAAAATTGTTCCCACACTTAAATATGTCGGCACACTGAGATTTCAGTAGAATTAACCTGGATCTTTCAATTTTATCTCACATTAAGGGTCAATTCTTTTAGGGGCTTTTTTGGCTTCTGAAATAAGCCGCCCCATACCCAGCTTATTCTAAAAGTTGAACCAAATTATTTTTTTCGAAGCCTACTAGTTACTAGAATAAGCTGGGTAGGGAGGATGTTATTCTAGAAGCTAGCAAAAGAATTGGCCCTAAAACTCAACTGACTACTTGTTTATCAGTTAGAAATTGTCGTGTACGTACGTCACATGCTTGGTTCAGCGATTCTACAAAACATAATTATTGATATCATCCCATATGCTGTGCTTGACCACTTTGCTAGGAATCAACTGACTGATTTCGTGGAGAAATCAGTTGGGTCCTGGGCCGTTAGATTTGTCCCTCGCAAACTGATGGATGGTCAACACAACAAGTAGCCGCACGAGCGTGTTGTACTGCAGGTTTGTCGTCCAGCACGCTGTACCATGCCCTTTGCATTGCAAACTTCCACCACCGGCGAGATCTACGAGCCGCAACACCATGTGTTGCAACGCAACTCCGCCACCCGCTGAAATCTACGAGGACGTGACACCATGCACACTGCGTGGAAGCATTCCCTTCCGACTATGAGATCCACTGTTTGCACCTCTCCTGCTCCGTAGCACATGTGGCACTGCACCAACATGCTCGGCAATACCAACCGCAACAACGACCGGCTATGCTCAGCAACACCGATCGTAGTGACGGTCGATGGTGTCGATGATGCTGGGCAACACTGACCACGATGGAGCATCGGTGCTGGGCAGCGGAGCTCATAACATCGGCGGTGGAGCGGGAAGGGAGGAAGGAGGAGGAGCGGGAGAAAGAGGGTGCATGGGAAAGGGAGAAAGGAAGAGCACGCGCCGACGAGAGTCTAGCAGTGACAGAAAAAGAAGTGCATTGGTCGCCCAGGGAAGGGGATAAGGAGGAAGGGGAAAGAGGTGTGTGTGGGCCATACGAGGGCACATGGCACTTGTCGGAAGTGGCTTATGGGAGAGAGAAATCATCCGGTTAAAAAGAAAGCGTTTTTCCTTTCCTTATGTCATAGTAGTGCCTCTGGCTTTGGTGTATGCTAGTTATACACATGGCCAACCATAATTGCCCTTTTTAACTTCTGAACTTCAAAAATGCAGTTTGGAGCCCGGTCTACAGGTAGCACGTTGTTCTGTCCGAGTGTTCTTGTTCGCGATCAACAATCCCTGGCCAGAGATGGCCGATGGCGGCCGCATTGGGCGGCGACATCGGCGTGCTGGTCAAGATGGTGGCCCTGAAGCATGGTTTGAGGCATGTGGGCAACATATGGGCAGCACTAGATTTGGAGCATGGAAGGCACGGGGACAATCCCGACCAACACGCCACAACGATATGTGCCTTGCCATTTTGCGGCAGGCCTGGTCTTCGGTTCACAAAACCTTGATGGCAATGGTGCTTCCATGGTTCTTGTGACAACGAAGGTTGTTCTTCTTTTCTTCCGACAAGGGTCTCGACGGCACTAGGAGTTGGAGATGGCCATCGGTTATGGTGTATGCAGAGATCCCTTAGGGCCCTTTGCCTCTTTTCTTTTGCGATTGTTTCTCCATAATGTTCAGGACACGTGACGGTTCCAGTAATCTTTGGTATGACGTGCTTGGTTACCTGCATCGTCTTTTGCTGTTTTGCATTTATGTCACAGATGGGCTTGGCTGGGGTAAAACAAGCTAAAAACCATCATTTGCACATAGTTTGGTTGCATGCATCTAGACTAGCTGCATGAGGGAAGCAATACTGACCTGCCTTTGGTTGCCCATGTTGCACTAGGTGCACAAACTACACATTGTTTGGTTGCAAATGGCATAAGGTGCTACCACCACTTATCACTAGTGGTGACCTTACCACACACGACTTGAACATAGTTTCATTCCTTGCTAGGAAACAAATCACAGTTAACCCTATCTACTAACAAATATCAGTACAAATATAAAAGTCAAATGGCTCAATAGGGGAAAGTTCATCGATGCTGAACTAGTTGGAAGTCCATCCTCATCCTCTTCTTCTTCTACTGTCGTTGTTTCTTCTTCTACTTCTGCTGCTGCTGATTCTTCTATCGTTGTTGCTCTTCTTCTTCAGATCCTTGTCTAACCTCTGTTATCCCACATTTCCCGAGCCCACTCCATCCTTTTGTTCTTCGAGGCTTCGTTGTCAAGTGCCTCCACACCATGCCTGGGGCTGACAACATCATCAGGCGTCACCTCTTCCTCCTCTGGCACCAGGTCATCACAACCCCATTACAGGATCCAGTTATGCAGAATGCAACAATTAAGAACAAGCTTAACCTAGATGGGGAAAGTGTGAAATGTCTTATGTTCCAAGATCTTAAACCTATTCTTGAGAGCTCTAAATGCCCTCTCAACCATAACTCTAAGGATGGAGTGTCTGAGATTAAACAGTTCCAGTGGAGTTCTAGGATAGTTCCTACAGGAGAACTCGTCCAGATGGTACCTGGTTTTCCTGAAGGTGGAAGAAAACTAGGCCGACATGCAGAGCCAGCATCTCCTTAGTAGAACTTGCCATCGGGGACATTGATGCCATCAGGTCGAATCATGCTGTCAGTTAGAATGTTAGCATCATGTGTTGATCCTTCCTAGCCAGTTGGCACATATGTGAACTTCATATCAAAGTCAACAGCACCAGGAACATTCTGGCTTGTGTAGTGCTTTCTCCCCCCTCTATGCTACAGCTTGTGACCTCAGCACTCTAGCAGTGACATGTGTAACATCTATTGCCCCGATGCAATCCTGAAATGGCATGAAATGATGGTGTTATGGCTATAGAAGAACAATACGAGCATGTCAAGGCATGAACTATACTGTCAATGTTCACCTTGAAATATGGATACCATTTTGGTCTAGTGCGAATCTTGCTAGGAGTACGGACGGTTGGTGACTTGATCATCTCTCCTCTGAGCTCCCCCAACAACATACAACACTTGACTGAAGTACCTGGAAATGGTCTCCAGTGATCTCCTGAACATGTTGTGGATAACCCTAAACCTCTGCTTAGATCGACAACATGGAGGAACATGGCAACTTGCTCTTCCACACTGGTGTTGATGCTATCTTCTAGCAGCCCCCTGCTCCTGAACGTCTGCACAAGTCTGACAAAAGGTGTTGTTCTCATTCTTAGCATCCACAGAGCCTCTTTGTTGTTGCAGTTGTAGATGTGGTTCAGATTTGCTATCCTCTCCTTATCTCGGGTTAACATTGGATCATAACATATGACAGGCTTGTCAGCATGACAAACAACTCTCTTGCAGATTAACATGAGCCAGGCCTAAATCACAGCTATCAGTGCTGCTACCTGAACTACCAGCTTCATCCGTCTGACGATAACCTAGGCGACACTGATGGTGCAGTGAGCAATGGCGAAGTCGATCATACACCTTGCCTAACGGTCTAACATAGGAGGGGGGCTTGTATGCTGCTTACCAGCTTTGGAGACGACAACGAGGATAGGACGGCCATGGTTGCGTCGAGGAGGACCACACGGATGCCAAGAAGGGAAGAAGCAACTCGTGCTGCCGGAGTGTGCTGCTGCCGCCGCCGCCGCTTGCACAGATCTAAGTCGTCGTCGTCACCGTCGCTGATGCTATGAACAGAGGAAGTGCTTGTCCTAGAGCTAGGGATGAGCGAGTATATGTGGGGTGAGGCTAGATTTCACGTCATTCGGCTTCGGCTGGTTTACTTCTCCCGCCATCTCCGCTCGATTTCACCTTGCATTGTAGTGTGCGCGCTGACTCCCTTTTCTGCCCCGCCCAGTCTGTCTCGCTGGAAGTTGCGTATTCAAGCGTTCCCAACGAGCCAGGATCTGGGGTACTT